ATGGCCGAAAGGAAATACAAATACATTTCCTGTATGTCATGTGTATTGGATTACATAAAATTCGGCCTGAGGAACTTTTAATGTATCGCGTTACATTACATATGGAGACGGGAGATCACCGACCACGTTGGTGTCTGGCGTTACTATTTTTGAAAAGAAACGGTTTAAAAGAACAACATAACATTAGTCATTACCATTGAAGCGTTGGTCAAATTGATTACGTGATGTGGAATTTGATGAAGTTAGAAGCAACGCGCAGTTTACTCACGCGGCTTTTTATGAATTTGTGTAAGGTAGGCCTATGTGTATGTGTTAATGTGTAAGAAACTATTTCTTGATTTTTAAACGTCAAATCGTAGCGCACCCGCTAAGGTTTAGATGGTTCATTCAGATTATTTATTATCTTGATTTCATTATTTTGCTAGTTGTTGTTATACACTTCTATTTTTCATTATTTTCAGTATTTTATATGGACGGACGAAAGTAACAATTATATTCGAAGAAATAAACTCGTCTCTCTCTCTGCTACTATGCGATTTCGCACCTGTGGCCTGCAAACGGATATTCTCATGACAGCTCATACACATTACTAATAAACACGTTCTGGTATTCACACGCGAGCTCATAGGCCTATACACATGTTTTGATTCTTCAGTTCAGAAAAAGACTTATCTGATTCTATTGATCTGGAACAGATTGAACAAATGCAGAAATTGAGCAAGCTATTAAATAAGGGATGAATTTTCTTAATCCTTCTTTCGTACACCTGAACGAGCCTACCGAAAAGGTAGAGTTAAGACTCTGAAATGGTCGTTTCCGGCGACCTAGAGGTTCTAAATGTTGAAAATTTTCTCGCTCGACGCCAACCATGGTGGCGCCTAGTGAGACTTGACCCCCTTATTTCAAATACACTCCCACGTCCCTGTTCTGTGGCATGATGTTTTTGCAGAATTGTTTTTACCCTTCTGTTTCATTTCTTTTTGAATATCAAAAAGTCGGTCCCCAAGTGGCCCATACCCCCCTAGAAATTCCTTAGATGTGCGCCCCTATATACGTTAACAAGAATTGCGACATCCTTAAAATGGATTGGCTTCCAATGAGAGAGCGTAGAGAATGGCTTCTTTATCCGCCCACAAAGCATTACATAGCAATGATTGGCCGAAATATCTCCGACTCGACTGAACTGTCTCACATACAAGGACATTGCGCTCATCTGGATCGATAACCCTAGTCAGGCCATTGGAATCAAACACGTTCCAAGATAACGCATCTTGCACTTTTCAATGCATACCATCTACAGTAAGATATTGTAACGATTTTAGGCGTTTCTGTTCACTTAATAAGGCGATTCTAAAAGAACGCTGTGACGAACAGTTATAGTTATTATAGATAGTTTTTATAGTCTATAAATTATAGTATTTATAGTTATAGATACTTTATAGTTGTAAACATGTACATAAAAATCTATGTAATTTAGAGCAGTCTTCAATAGATGAAGAGCCTTCCATGAGGGAAATGCTATTGAATAAATCATTATTATTATTCGGTAAGCTCCTTGAGGAGACGACAATTACATTTCTTGGTGAAGAGATTACACCAACCACAAATGCCTGCAAAGACCTGGGATTAACTATACCATATCAAAAATGTTGTATCATCTTGTATGGCCAAACTGTGTCAGATAAATAGAGTAAAGGATAGCTTTGACAGGGATACTCTTCGCTTAATTATCAATGCTTTAGTAATGAGAAAACTTTATTGGATACCAAAAATAAAACTATAGTGTGGGTGGAAAGTAACCCTGAGTGGATCAAGACTTGTGTCAGGCTATGTATGTACAATACAGAGCATGATTGCAGGTTAATGAGATTTCTAATAGTGATGAAACATTGGTTAGAAATCATAAAAGACTTTACATGAAGTTTTTTTACATGAAAGGAGTTTACATGAAAGGTAATTGGTTCAAGTTGCAAGTTCCAATGGAATTTCCTATTACATTTCATTTTATATGGAAATGAGCTAGCATGCCTCGTAAAGGGGTCTTGGTTTGCATTGCCAGCTGAGTTATTGGGCAATTACTGTACACTGGATATTTTGCAAACAAAGATGATTACCTGGGCTTGCTCGCCTGCCTTAGTTAGCTAAGTGTTTATTTTGTCTGTGCAAATATAATTTGATATAAGCTGTATATGACATTCTCTTGACAAATTTTAATCTTAGAATAATAAAACGATGGACGGCATAAATACTGTATACAGTGGTTTTCAAATACATAGGTTTTCAGAACACTGTTTTAATGGTGCATTTTGTTATAAATCACATGCTAAGCATAGAAAACCAACATTTCAGATAAAATATTTACCCCCTAGTATCCGTCAAAAAGAGTGTATAAAATGCGTATGTTGTGACATGTACAGTACAGAAACATATATTATGATAACAATTACGTTATATGAGTGTGATTTGTGTTATTTGGTACAAGATTTTTACAGTCTTTCCAAATTATGGGGTGGGGCTCCCCCCCCCCCTAGTGTCCACCACTGAGTCTGTATATGCTGTAACTGGTGTATAAAGGTTATAATTATGAAATTTTCTCACAAAAGTAGGGTAGTTTGGAAAATATATTTAATTAAAATTAAATTATATATTAGTAGTGCTAATTGTCCCAGTACTATGTTTTGTAAAATATATCCCCACCCACTGATAAGTCGGTATGGATATATTTTACAAAGATGTGCATTTATATAATAACATAGGGAAAATATTCATCACTACAATACTATGTGACCTTTCTACATTTGACAACATCGTAAAAGAGTACTGTATTAATATTAGTTGAAAGCCAGGCAAAAGGGGGCAGATAGAAGACATATATCATTCAATTATGTCATGTTTATCATTGTAGTAGATTATATACAGTTTGGTAGGTTCATTTGACAAACAATTTCCAACCAAGATAGTTTATCAATTTAATTTACACACTCTATTAAATTAAAATGTGTGGCCGTGTGTACCTAGTTATATATACTTATAGAATTTTAACTACTCAGTGGTTGTTTTGTGCGTTTCTCTTAGTTTACTGGTTTCCTGGCCACAGTGCAATATTCTCAGTATTCAGAATGTGGGCTATTCACCAGTTCATGTCAAAGGCAGCTAGGGGCAAATGAAATTGACCAACTGACGCCAACCACACTGTCCAGCAATGCAACTAGTGGAGCACACTGTATACACCTTTGTTACGCAGTATGTGTGTATTTGCGTTGTCGTGATTTTCTGCCGGATTGTTTTTTCAATTTACCTAGAAAAGTTAAGACTACAAGAAGCACAGTACTGCATGACTATTTTGGAATAGAGACTTATTGCCACTGCTGCTATTACACTAGTACAAGCAATTTTTTTTTCTTATATGGAGAAATTATGTTGTTTCTGCAATATATAGGCCTAGGTTCAAGATTTTTACGTGTCTTTCCAAAAATGCAGCAAATATTTTTGTGACTCTGATGTATGAATTGGAACAAAAGAGTTTGCTCAAAATTTCCCGGGGAGGGATACCCCCGGACCTCCCTACAAATGCGAGGTTTTATGCATCAGTCAGCCTAGGAGCTGGATCCGCCCTTGGTAGACTGCTTTAGCCTGGGTATGTACTAGATATACATGCAGTGTCAGGATGTCCCAAAAAAACCGAAAACTATTGAAATCACTTATTGTTAAAATTGAATGCCCTACCAAACAGCTGAACGTAATGATGCGTAAAATATTGACAAGATGCATGTATTAAACTCAGCAAAGCTAAGAAACCTGTGGCCTCAGTATAACTGGTTAAAACTCCTTTTTGACAGGCCCCTTGAAAACTATTGCAGAAATGAAATTGTATTCTGCAAGGTTCATATCTTCGGTTCAGTAAATGCTATGACTATATGTAGACGAAAATACCACCATTCGATTCAGTGTAAAAATATCTACTAATTCCTAACGATAGTTTTAGTCAATGTCAACATTGTAGCGATTTATGAGCTTTGAAAGTCAAGCGAGATCGTATATTATCAAATTACGCAATTGTCTGAACAAAAATATAGACTAACTGTGCCTTTCGCCAAACATGGTCAAACATAACTTCGGCCCCTTCAAACGTGTCTTCTTTGTAAATAGTCTTGTTTGAATCGCTATAAACAACGCTCTTTGGGGTGTCATTTGCGAGACTGTATCTTCAAATTTGATAAAGGTATCACGGTATTCCCATTTCTGCTCTGATTGTGAGTTAATCCCAACCGGAAATACATTTTTAAAATGTCAAAACAATGCGACGTTTGTATCGTATGACTTTGAAAATGCCAGCAATCGATTCTGTAACCTCGTTCCCAGGCTCTTCCCTCTTGTGGAGGAAAGACCCTGGTTGCGGCTGGTCACGTGTCTCTTCAAAAATGTATTGCCTAAGGGAGTGTGGTAGAGTAACAAATTACATGCTTCCACATGACATGAAAACTTTACACTTCAATTGCAAGGAGTGAGATGGTTCGAAATACTTGCTAAATGTTTGTTTATTGCTCTTTGGCATTACAGTTTTTTAATAATTTTACGGACAGACAAGTGAAGCTGTTGTTATGCTCTTTCAAACTTTTCTGTGTTTATCAGCGATGCTCTGAGTCCGAGTCGTCGTCGTTCCCATATTTATGTCTACTAGTTAACCTGCACGGAAGCACGAGAACGAACGAATAGCCTCATATTGACTGGACGACTGGACCGTTCACATTCGTTCAACTCAACGCTTTCTATTGGATGAGACAAGTTTAATTATATTCGTTTCTTTAATTGAGCTATCGTAGCGTTAAAATTCTTTGTGATTAGCTTTGTATTCCTGATATAAATTACTGCACCATCTGTACGTACAGGAAACAGCTACTACATCAAAACATTAATGAAATTTAATGTGAAATAAATCAAAATAATGTGAACGTTGCTGACCATAGCCTTCCTATTGCCTGTAACGCATAGCTGAACTGGAGAACTGCTTGACTAGCATTTCTTTACTTTTCAAAAGACCCCACTCCTAGCCTGTAATTTACACTTAAGCCTAGTTTCCATTTGGTCGTTAGTTGTCGCTGGCACGACAAGCGGTAGATGTGAAATAGTTTAATATCAATAGTCTTTTTGTGTGATATGCAAATCAGTCTTAATGATTGCAGAGTTTTTTGTTGACACTCTATTACATCAGCCACTTGTCGTGCCAGCGACAACTAATGACCAAATGGAAACTAGGCTTTAATGCTGAGTGAGCGCTTTTCAAAAATATTTCTCTTATGAAGCAATTTGCATGAGTATGTATACCACTGATCTGAAATAAGACTGGATAACGCATCTATAGTATACAAAAGTGAAGCCGGAAGTCACCGGCCGCCACCCGATTCTGGGGCCCCACTTTTGTATAGATTTGTATTACAGACGGTACTTTTTCGCGTTTTTTGCCTTGGCTACGTTTCCGATCGGGCCAATTTTACAATCACAACGATAGAAGCGTACAAGAAGAATTTTGAGCAAAAAAATTATGTATTATGGCTTTATAACGCCGCGAAATGGGATTTACAACTCTGAAGGAGTCGGGAGAGCCTCAGACTTTGTTTATCAACACGAGCTCGTTTTGCTACTTTCATACAAAATCATCTCAAAATATACAAGAATTATTGTTACTGGACGAATATTCTCACGAAATTTGAAGAAATGAAGCAGCTACATTGTGAACGAAAGCGTACAGAGGTTAGTTTTAAAATACCTTGAGGCTACTTTCATAATTATATGAATTAAAATAACATATTGAGTCGTTGTTTATAATTTGGATTAAAAATATTTCATTGTCACTTGTCTTCCTACTTTAAAACATATAAAACTTCTCGACAAGTCGCCTAGGAATGCTTTTGACAAAATTGACATTTAAAACTGTTCCCTATTAAATTCGTATAATCATAAAAGGTCATAAAAGTAGCCTCAAGGTATTTTAAAACTAACCTCAGTACGCTTTCGTTCACAATGTAGCTGCTTCATTTCTTCAAGTTTCCCGGGAGAATATTCGTCCAGTAAACAGTAATTCTTGTATATTTTAAGTTGATTTTGTATGAAAGTAGCAAACGAGCTCGTGTTGATAAACAAAGTCTAACCTCTGTACACTTTCGTTCACAATGTTGTAGCTGCTTCATTTCTTCAAATTTCGTGAGAATATTCGTCCAGTAACAATAATTCTTGTATCTTTTGAGTTGATTTTGTATGAAAGTAGCAAAACGAACTCGTGTTGATAAACAAAGTCTGAGGCTCTCCACTCCTTCAGAGTTGTAAATCCCGTTTCGCGGCGTTATAAAGCCATAATACTCCAAATTTTTTGCTAAAAATTCTTCTTGTATATGCTTCTATCGGTGTGATCGATTGTAAAATTGGCCCGATCGGAAACGTAGCCAAGGCAAAAAACGCGAAAAACTACCGTCTGTAATACAAATCTATACAAAAGTGGGGCCCCAGAATCGGGTGGCGGCCGGTGACTTCCGGCTTCACTTTTGTATACTATAGATGCGTTATCCAGTCTTATTTCAGATCAGTGATGTATACAGCTATTTCAATCATAGTTAGGGGCGGACCACTAGAAAAGTGATGGGGGGGGGGAGGCAAAAGCAAAAATAAAAATCGAGCAGGGGAAACAGAAAAAAATATTCGTGCCCCAGAAAAGTTTGAAAAAAAAAATGCGTGCAGAGACTTTTCAATAGGGAAAATTATAAGTTGACAGGGCCTATCAGAGGTACAGTGTAAGGGTGGCCCCCAAATTTGGAAAAGAAAAGAAAAATAATTTGGAACGTTTTTGGATATAAGTAATGGTCTGAGAAAAAATTTTCTAAACCTAAATGTAGCAGATATTGGTGCAAATTCAAGCGTTTTAATCGTATACTGTAATGCGATACAGTTTGTCGAGAAGGATAACGTTAGCCCTAATACTTACTAATATTAAAACGTTATTTCCTAAGTTGTAAAGTATATATTATTCCCAGACTATTAAGATGCAATGTATGGCCTGGAATAATGATATTTCATTCGTCATATTTTCATAAAAATTATGTGATTTAATTGGTTGAAAAAATAAACAGTTCGTGACGTATTTATAGTAAAAATTTGGTTTCAGGGGGGTGAACTACAACAGGAAGACTGCTAAAATACAAGACTCAAGAGCGATTTTTTTTCGAAGATGAAATGGTGGATTTTAAAAACTTTTTACATCCATCCATAACTTTTATCTACAGCAAAACAACCAGCTAACTTTTGGTTACATGTACACGAAATGTCATGAAATTCTGAGCAATAATGGCGAAGAAAATGTGCTCCTAACTGTTGAATCTCGTCGTACTCTAGTAAACAGCCTTGTCATGCCGATCTTTGACTACGCTGATTTTGTGTGGGGTGATAAAAACAACTCTGTCCTGATGAACCACCTTCAAGTTCTTCACAACAAAGCCGCTAAAATCATTCTTGACGCTCATCCACTCTCGTCAGCCTCAGAATCCCTACGATCGTTAAATTGGCATCCGTTAGCAACTCGTAGACACCTTCACCGTTGTCTAATCATGCACAAGTGTTTAAACAATGACATCGATTTTAAATTTAATTTCAAGTTCTCCTCCGACATCCACAGCTACAACACTCGAAACAAACAGAACATACATTTGGAACGCGTGAAGAAGAACTGGGGGAAGCAGGCATTCAGCTACCATGCTGCCAACGACTGGAATAGTCTGCCAGTGGAAATCCGAAATATACAGCAAATTAAA